GTGTGTGTGTGTGTGTGTGTGTGTGTGTGTGTGTGTGTGTGTGACAGGTTTTCAGTAAATTGCTAACTCTTCCAGGCTGGGCTCAGACTGGGAATCCTTTCTGCCTCACCCTCCCAGAGTGCTGGGCTTACAGTCCTGGCTTGTTTAATCTTCAGTTTTCTACACTCGATTTGCTTCCTGCCATCTGACCCCACAGAAGGGTAAATTCTCAGGTCTCATCCAAGATCTAAAGGTTCACAGTCTGCATTTCAGTACAACGCCCAAGTGACCAGTAGGCACAGACCGACTTGGCCTCTGTACCTACAGTCATCCTTGCACGGTGGCCACTTCCAGGGTATCTGCTCTGGGTATCTGCTCAGCTGCTTAGGTGTGGCCAGCCCCACCAAAGGAAAACACCTTCTCTAAGTGGCACGTGTCCAACAGCTATCAGATCCCAAGGAGAAACGAGGGCCTGAGTCTGGAAAATCTGCCTCAGATCTCCGATTGCCGCTGTAGAGGCGGGGTCAAAGCGAAAGCTCCTCTCAGGCGATGCTCCTTAACCTTAGGGCTCTAGGGGGCTCGGGGAGGGTGTTCCCAAGCTCCCGGAGGGGCTGCTCGCTCGGGTCCTCTTTTGGCAGGCAGGGCGCTAAGCCCGGGGGTCTCAGGTTCACCCCGTGCACCGCAGGGTGCTCAGCTTGCACCTATTGATCGGTGAGGAATCCACTTCTGCAACACAGCGGTGCCGCTCTGGGACTCAGGACTCCACTTTGTTTCCTGAGTTCCCCCCCCTCCACCCCGCCACCCCGCGTACAACAGTGCCTGTCAGCGGGAATCACTGGGGCTGGACCTGCACGCGGAGCTACCCAGCAATCGAGTAACGCAGGGTTCGAGGAGGAGGGTGGGATGCCAGGTGGCCTCCGGGAACCAGGCAGACGTCAATGGCCACTTCCAGCCGGACAGGATGCAGCACTCCCGCCCGTCCCCGCTCGGCTCTAGGTCAAGCCCGCGCCTCCCGGCCTTTATGCCACAGCTCCCACCGGCTCCCTGGGGCCTTCCCCCCCGCCACCAGCGCAGGTCCAACTTACCTGTGCAGGGCATCCGTGCAGAGCTCGGACCAGTCCTCCGTTGCCTAGCACCCGGACGCAGCTTGGGGGAGGGGCTGCGCATGCGCATGCGCCCAGGAGACCGCGAAGGGACGAACGTTTCTCAACGCTTAGCCAGTCTCAAGGCTGGCCCCCTAGGCACCGGCAGCTCACCTGGACCCTGAGAACCGAGTAGGTTCTGCCCGGGAGGCAGGGAACATTGTTTCCCTTCCATGCCCATTACCCACCTTTCTCTCTGCGCCGACCCCCGCACCTGGCCTTCCTCAACATCTTTGGGGGCTCAGGTAGCCTGGCGATCATGACGCCCCGACAGGTTTCTTTAAATTGAGGGTGCATAACTGCTGCAGACCACTATGATCCCCACTACTGAGGAGTTCCAGATTGGGGATCCGTAGTTTGAGGCCACCTGGGCTTTCAGGGCTTGGGTTATAGCTGAGGGTTGGAGCATCCCTGGGTTTGACGGCTAGTGCCTCAAAAAATGCGTACCTGATTTTGCATTTCAGATAAAGGGGTTACAGTTTAGTACGAAAAAAAAAAGACAAAGTCATTCATTGTATCTCTGAAATGTTTAACTGGTCATGCTGTATTTTATTTGCTAAATCTGGTAACCCTGCCCAGTTTCCCTTGTGGGAGCTCCCTTAGGCCAAGACAGCTGGGACTGTGGGCTGGAGCTCTGCTTTGGAGAGCGAAGGTGATTGCTCCTATATATTGAACATAGTAATTGTCTCTAATCTTAGTACTCTGGGAGGCTGAAGCAAGAGGATCGTAACTTTGAGCATGACCTGGGCAATATAGAAATTGAATGAGACTCTGTCTTAAGGTCTGGGAATGTAGTTTTGTGTGAAGGTCTTGAGTTCTCTAGTACAACACCACTGTCAACACCACAATAGGAGGGGTATGTATTGTCAGTGTTTCCTGGACAGGAGATGCTGAGTAGCCTCACCCAGGTCCCACTGATAACCCCAGACTGTGATGGCTTAAGTCTAGAAGTCCCTCCAAAGCCTCATGTGGTTATAGGTGGGGCTTTTTTTAGAGGTGGCTGGATCTAGAGTATGACCGATCCATGGTGCAATACTAGGATTAATGGTGGTAGGATTAAGGCTGTGAGTGCTATCTGCCCTAAAGGGGCTGGTAGCCTGGGTGAGATATAAGGGACAGAAAGAACCCTGGTCATCCCTTATTGATTTGCTGTCTTTCACCCATCATGAACTGTTTCTCCTCTGGGATGCCACTCTGCCTTGGAGCCAGCTGATTATTTACTGAAGCCTCTACAAACTGTGAGCTAAATAAACCTTTCCTCCTTTAACTTGGGGCAGCAGATATTTTGTCTCAGCAATGAGAAAAGTAACTAAGATAGAATTTGGTACCAGAGAAATGAGGTCATTGCTGTGACTGCACCTGACCAGGTGGTTTAGGAGACTTTGGAGGTAGCTTGTAGGCAGAGGAAGAGTTAACAAAACTTTGGACATGCTGATGGAAAAAGTAGAGCTGGAATATTTGATACTGTAGTTGTTGGGAGATTTTGATCAGAACCCAGAAATCCAGAAGGTTGATAGAAATCCTTCCAGCAAAGATCAGGCCCAGGAAGTTTCTGCTGGGAAGAACTGCTTTGGCTGTTTAAGTCCAGATAATGTGTGTTATTATTTGGCAAAAAGTTTGTCTGCATTTTGCTCATGGTCAGAGACTTTGGCTGAGACTGAGATGAAGGGTGGTGGCCTATTTAATCTGGCAGAAAAAAATTTTAAGGCAGCTTAATGTTGAGGTGGTGGCATGGCTACTGTTAGGGATTTTTAGCCAGATTTATGTTGTGAATCAAGAAAAAGAGCCCAGTGGAATGATTTAAAACTCAGAGAGATCTTTCTTGTGAAGGAGGGTTAGGAGAATAGAAAAGATGGCCTGATGGCATCCCAAGAAGTAACAGAAATCTACTTTTGTAGTCTCAAAATTGTAAAAGTGAAAGACTGCTTTGAGAAGACAGTCCAGCGCACCATATTCCGGAATGACAGCAGTCTAGGGAAGTTGTTCCTAGGGACTTGATTATGTGCATTGGACCCCTATATCCAAGAGAAAAGGAAGCCTGGCTACTGCTCCAGCAAGCAGCAGACCTTAGATATCATCCATGTAGTGCTGGTTTTAGGCACCTGAAGAATGTAAGAGTTGTAAGGTCAGGAAGGCTTTTGCCCAGATTTCAGAAGAAGGCCGTGGAAACCAGGTAGTGTACCCCTGTGTAAAGCTGTGAGGATGAAGCTAAAGGTACAGGGGAGACCCTAGAAGGTTGGAGAAGCCAGGAATGTGGATCACACAAGGAAAGCTGCAAGGAGTAAGCAAAGCCAGCCAAAAATGGAGGCCATGGGAGCTACAACCAGTAGAAGTGCCACAGGGACGGAGCCATCCGAACACTTTGGAGTTCACAACTTGCCACACATTGATGGGCATGCTGGAAGTGGAACTGTGGGATTCAATATTTTCCCTGCTAATTTTGGGCTGCTTTTGTTCCCATTCTTTGCTATGCCCATTTGTAACTTTGGGAGTGGAAATGTTTGTCTTCTTCCACTGAATGTTGCACGTGCTTAACTTTTTTTCATTTGTATAGAGCTTGCAGATAAGAATTTGCCTTAAATGTCCAAGGAGACTTTGGATTTGGGCTTTTCATCAATGCTGAAACTGTTAGGAATTTGGCAATTCTTGGAGATGGACTGAATTTCTTTTCGGTAAAGGAATATACATGAGTCTTAGTGGGGCCTGGGTTGGGATGTTATGGTTTGTGTCTAGATGTCCTTCTGAAGCCTCATGCTGTTACAAGCAGGGCTTTTTCAGGGCTGGCTGGATCTAGTGTGTGATGCTGCAATTGATTCATGGTGCAATGCTAGGATCAAGGGCACTAGGACTAAGGGTGTAAGTGCTGCTTGCCCTAAGTGTAGGTACCAAGTACAACATATAAGGAAAGGAAAGAGTTGCTAAGTCCCTTTTTACTCTTACTGTCTTTTGCCCACCATGAACTGTTTCTTCTTTTCAGTGGCCGTCTGTCATTCCTTCCTGCCTTGGAGCCAGTCAATGGTGCACTGAAACCTTTACAAACTGAGCTGAGTCAATCTTTCCCTCTTTATCTTTTATGTCTCAGGCAAAACAATTCTAAAGCCTGTGGCAGGAATGCTTTTCTTTGTGTGGTTGGGGTACCTATACCAACTTGACAGGAAGTTCATTTGTGCTGGTTTGTACTCAGATTGTAGAGTCTTTAGGATAGTTTATATGCATATACATGTGCTTTCATTTCCCCCCTGCTGACACAATAGGGATGATGACATAGATGAGTTCCACACTGTGCTTTTCTACCTTCACTCTGTGTGCTAGGGACCACTATCATCTTTAGAGAGCATCTGGATTCCCTTTGTATCTGCTCTGGATTCTGGGTGGTGTATTTTACTAATCCTTACTTCATGAAACTCCAGCTGCTGCCCACATTTGACTGTGGTAAATAACCGTGCAGATTACCACACCCATGTACCACTTCATAGGATTGCAAGTGTATTTTTGAGAGAGGGTTCAAAAAATCAGATTTGTGGATCAAAGGGTATATAATAGGTGTGGGACTTTCTAGATTTTGCCAAATCCCCTTCTAAAGAGGTTGTCCCACATTGCTGTTCTCTCACCTTCACATCGTCAAGGGCATCATGGGAGCCTAGGGATGAACTGTAGCATGTTGGTGTTTATGAAATTCTAAGCTAAATGCGGGTACATTTGTGTTGGGACTTTTCCAGACCCTGGCATTCTATCCCTTGTAGCTGCTGAAGCTCTTCCTTCTTTCTGTCTTCTGAATTTTGTTCCTTTACCTGTGGATAAGGAAGGTATCCCCTGACTTGGTTAGATCTTGCCACTGTCTGCTCCTTATATCACTTATTTCAATTTTATATTTATCAGTTTGAATATGTGAATAATATCTGTCTTCTCTTTTCACTGGAAGCTCTGTGAAGGTAGAAATTGTCTACTTTTATTTGAGTTCAGGTTACTATTACAAGTTACTAAAGACTGTGTGAGTTTAACACGGATTTACTTCCCACGGTTTTGGGGCTGGACAGGCTGAGGTACTGGCATGTGTGGTGTCTCTTAAGAGTCGACTTCTTAGTTTTCACATGGCTCATGTGGAGGAAAATAGGACCAACCTCTTCTCTTTTTACAAGGACACTAATCCCATTCATGTGGGCTTCACCCTCATGACCTAATTATCCCCCAAAGGCCCTACCTAATGCCATCACAATGAGAGTTAGGATTTAACCTAGGAATGGGGGTTACATAAGTATTCAGTCAGTAAGAGTTTTGTATTCCTAGTACCTATCGATTGTAGCACCTGACATAGGTACTTAGTGTATGTCTGTTGAGTAATTGAAGTATTGTGTAAGAAGCTCAGAAGAGTCTGGATTTCATAACATATTAAGGCTAATTTGAAAGTGATCAACTTTTTTCAAAGAACACAAGATAAAGTTGTCACATTTTTTCAAAAAAAATTTGGCTTAAGGTTATTGTTTGTAACTGCAAAAGACAAGGATATTAACTGAGAAAGTGTAGAAACTCATTTGGCCCCATGAAGAGATAACTGTTTCACCCCAGTGATTAAAACACACCTCAAGAACATAGAAGAGATCATATCTTGAATGGAGAGCAGGTGTGGATGTGCATATGTGCACACACACATACAATTCACACACACACACACACACACACACACACACACAGTTCTCAGCCAGCAGGATCTGAGCTGTGCGAGGCATTACACTGCCCTGAGGTGCTTGGAGAAACTCAGGGAAGGAGAAGCTATGTGTTGCAGGTGAGGAGAACTTTTCAAGAGGAGAATGAAGGTGGGATCTCACGATATGTGAGAATGAGAGTTGGCCCAGTGCAAGGTGGATCAGCAGAATGGTGGGCTGTTCCACGGGATGGGGATATCCCGGTGTACTGGAGACAGGGGAAATGGCTGCAGGTGACTCCAAAAGGAACTGGGAGCTGGATCTTGAGCAGCCTCATAGGTTGTCTGCAGTAGGTGAAGTTTTATTCTTTGACCTTGGAAATGCATGGACTCATACAAAGAGCTGGACTGCAGAGATGGTTTGTGAACATGGCTTACATGTATAGGAGGAAGATCTCAGTAGGGTCAGTAGGCCAGGGCTCTGGAATCACGACATGCATCCAAACCTTATCTGCTTCACCTACCAGCTGTGTGTCCTGGCCTGTTCCTTCAGAAATCAGGCTCTTTGCCTGACTTTGCTTGTGGGCACGGTGGGGACCATGACACCTGTTTCTTCAGGTGTGCTGTGAGGGTGAAATGACATGCGTGTTGCTTGACACAGTCCTGTTGTGGTCATCTAGTACCCCTTTCCCTCTTGGACTGGACCTGAGGGTCCCTCTGGATTTTGAAACTGTTTTAGTTGTAATCTCTTCTGAGAAGCCTTTTGGAAACTGAGATTTCCTGGGCAGGATTCCTTGTGCCGTGAGCGGTGCTACTCTGTTGGCCTCAGTGGACGTTGCTCTTACTGTGCCTTAATTACAGACTTCCTGAACTAATGCAAGATGGTTGTTTTTTTAAAGGGTTGTGTTTAGAAGTTAGAAATGGAATCGGCCTATGTTCAAAAGCACCTTGGGACGTGTCTAATTCAGGGTCTTGCAGAAGTGGCAAGAGTTCACCCTGTGGATCCAATAGAATACTTAGCTCTGTGGATTTACAAGTATAAGGAAAATGTGACTATGGAACAGCTGGTAAGTATGACTTCCTTTTAGGCAGCCAGAAGAAAACAAAGGTTTAACACATTTGCCTTGTTTTTAAAGGTTTTATATCCTTTCCATGAGAAAATAATGTTTATTGTACAAAAACTTAAGATAAAATAAAATTACAAATGTAAAAAAAATGACTTCTATTTAGATATCCAGGAATTTTCTTCTGTGCGTAGTCTTTTTCCTACGCATTTGTAGTGTTTCTTTTCACATGCTTGTTAGTCATTCTCAAAGTATCCTTTTTTTGTACTAGGAATTAAACTCAGGACCTTGCACTTGCCAGGCAGGTGCTGTGTCACTGAGCTATATTCTTGGTTCAAAGTAAACTTTTAAATTTTATGCTTTTTGTCAATGTAAAACACGTATCTCCCCAAAGAATTGTGTAATTTTAAATGGGTAGACTAATTTGCATAAGTTATATAATTTGCTTTTTGTGTTGCTGTTGATTAAGATGCTTTGAAGGTTGCTTTCTTGGGTGGTTCAGTCTCTGATAGGTCATGTACTATTGTTTTTAAACAATGATAGAGACAGAAGGAAATGGCTCAGCTGCAGCATGAGCGGGCAGTGGCGAAGGCAGAGCAGGAATTGCTGGAGAGGCTCAGAGCGGAAGAGCTCTTGTTTCAGCAGGTGAGGCATGGAAGGGAGGGGCTCAAGGGACCCTGGAATTAGCTGCGCCAGCCTCAGTGCATGCAGCCCAGGTGCTGAAAACTCCCAAGCTCTGGTCATGTAATTATGGCTCTGTCCTTTGCTCACCTTCATCTGCACATGCAGAAGCAGCTGTGATGGATTAAGAGAAAACCCAGGTGCCCTGTGACAGAAGCCCAGGGGAGAGGGTGTTGGTGGGGCTGAGCGCTCAGCCTTATCTGGGGCTGCACTGAAAAGAGCTCATGGAAAGCTGCTGGTCATCTTGGCAAGAGCAGTGGTAAGTGTGCAGGTGTGTGTTGGGGGAGTGGGGGGATGGTGAGGGAGCAGGCAGAAGACTCTGAGTGGAAAGAAGACATTTTTGTTTCTTAGAAGAGGTAGACTGTTGAGATGTGCTGGGTAATAAGGATTGCATGGCTTAGAAGGAGCATGTTAATATTTGGGTAGGGCTCTACTGAAATCAGTGGGTCAAAACCTTGTCTCCTTCGGATGGAGTTCCGGAGTTGGTGACATTAGGAATGAATAAGGGTGCTTCGTAGAGTCAGGTCTTCACAGAGGAAATGAGGTCTGGACATAGGTTAGGCACATAGGAGGGGCAGGGCCTTTGGTTGGTTGTAACAGAGACAGAAGAGAGGTTGGCTTAGATGCCTGTGAATGTGTAGGTTTCATGGTACAGATTCATTGCCATCTTCTTTAGGAACCGTGGACCCTGATATCCACAAGATTGAGGGGTGAGGTAGGAGGGATGAGGAATGTGTTGAAGATTTTCCATGATGGCTTTGGGGCATGGAAGGAAGAGTTGACCAAAGCATTTTAGATTGAACATCTGTAACTTGAAATGACCTTAAATCCCAAATGCTTGAAAATCTTAGGTGTCAGCATGAATCAGGAAGAAAATTCCATACTACAATTAAACTTTAGTTTATATACAGAATCATTACAAATTATGCATAAATTGCCTTCTGGCTAAGTGTATAAAGAATAGGTGAAACACACTAAGCTTTATTTTTGTGCTGAATTTCATGTTTAGACTGAGTCCCATCCCTGGGAAACCTCATCATCTATGAGCAAATACGTTCTCTCCCCACAGTTCCAAAATCTGAGGTACTTCTGGTCCCAAGCATTTTGGATAAGGGATGCTCTACTTGTGCTTAGTAGCACCTTGAGATCCTGCGCTCATAATGGCTTGTCTGGTATGGTTGTGTGACTATGTGTTTTTCCCCCCTACATAGACATAGGTATCTGAGAAGAGAAGTGGATGAGGCAGACCAGATCCTTTGACCAAAGTAGGGCTGGTAGGAGGACTGGGGAGCTGATGTTGATAAGGGAAGGACTGGAGGGAATAGGTTCTGCAATTTATACTGGTTAAGGGACTGTACCTTAATTAAGTTACAGAGACTGAGTAACTTAATTTATAGAGAATTTCTGACTAAAATAGAAGTCATTGTTATAGTTGTATGATAGCACTGTGTTTTCACTCAAGTCTACACATTGAAAAAAGGAAAGAAGCCTACTATGTGGAGGTATGGAGCAAAAGAAAAATATAGACCTAGAACATAGTGTCTTTGACTAACATCCTACCCTTGAGACTGAGATGGAAAATTCTAGGTACTCAGGTGTCTAGGTGGATAGGGCTGTTGAACACTTGGCTGCTACTTCGTCTTCACCATCAGCTCATGATTTGGCTCATTCTCCAGGGAAGTCAGGTGTCAGGTTGTCAGCTAGACAGGCAAGGTGCCTCCTGCTACAACCTCAAGTGAAGATCTGCCCTGTCTCTTCCCACTCTTCCAGCTCAAACCTGTCCTCTGTCTATCAGAAAAAAGAAAATTCTCAGCAACTGTCTTTCTTTTGAGCAATTATATCCCAGTGGGAAGACACTTAACTCACTTTACTCCATAGCCTTATTTTACTTAGATAAAATTTTTCAGTACTAGAAATGAAAGCTGGACATAGCATTTCTCTAGCCTTATCCTGTTGACCAGTGCAATTAATTTGTGCATTGCACTGAAAGCACTGTATTGAGAGATGGAATATAGAATACTGTCCCATAGAAGATTTTATGGTCAGTTAAGGAAGTGCATTGGCAGAAAGAGACACAAGAAAGAGATAAAGACATCAGAAGAAAGGAAGGGCTTAGGAGAGAGTGAGTCTGGGGTATAGGAAAAAATGATCTCTCAGTGCCCTGGTCTGCGAGCTGGAGGCTGAGGCTGGCTGCCCCCATTTCTGTCACTCCTAACTCAGGGTTCACTGTTTAAGTAAACCACCGTGCAGTGCTGGGTCCAGCAGCCGAGGAAAAGCATTCAGAGCCATTTGTCTTGTTCGAAATGGACGGTGGATATTGCCCCCAGTGTCTACTCTTTATCCACCTATTCTCACCAAAAGTTTCCTAATACAACAAAAATTATTTTTATTTCTAGACTTGTGTCTTTGGCCACTAAAATCATATTTTAATCAGATTCCCCAGTAGCAAATGTCATTCCTTAGGTGAAAAATGAACTACCTGAAGACTTACATTTGTTGCAGTCTTAGTTTCATTTTTAATTTTTGTGGAGAACTTTTGCTGTGATGAGGTAATTCTGTTTTAAATTTTCTAATTTTTCTGACTTTGCATTTGGGTGAGTTGATAGCAATGAGAGAAGTGCTTAGAAATAAAATAAAATAAAATAAAATAGAGAAGTGCTTAGACTGGTAATGTTTATTCTTATTGTATTTTTTTTTTAGCAGAGAGGCATTATGCACTAGAAACTATATTTTGCCATGTTATTTAATAATAAAGAATATATTCATTCAATTATGCCTTAAAAGGGCAACACTTGTTCATTCTTTTCTTGTTTTCTTTTTTTTTTTCTTGTTTTCTTTGACATGAAGTACAGTACGTGAGTTTTCAAAAAGTCACAGTATGGTGACACGGTGACACCGCCAAGACTGTTGAGTCACAAATATTGTCCCAGTGATTTGCAGGGTGCTGAGCCGCAGCCCTCTCATGCGAGGAGAGCACCACCTACAGCCTGTTGCAGCTGCTGCACTGCTGTCCCAGGCAAACCTGGTGCAAATCATTTAAGTAAATGAACATGGCTGTGTTCCAATAAAACTTTATTGACAGATGCTGAACTGTGAATTTCATACCATTTAACCCACCACAAAATATTATTCTTTTGATTTTCTTTATAAATGTCTACATGTTTAAAAATGTGAAAACCATTCTTAGCTCACCAGCTGAACAAAAGCAGGAATCAGATCTAGCCCACGGGAGGTATGACTGACCCTACCTAATGTGACAGCTGTGTGGAGTTGGGACCAAGTGTATTGCCATCTACTCCTGGGTTCAGAGAGGAGTCTCAAAGTTTTTCTCACCCACTGTTTTGCATCCACGGATTGGTTTATTATTTAGATCCATTTATTTCTTTAAGTGTCTGCAGTTTAGGTGAGTATAAACAAATGGTCATGGGGCATTTAGAAACAGCAGCATTAATTCCTCCCAATTACTCTGTGTGTAATACGGCATACATATCTCTAAATATTCAGGAGCAGCTGGCACTGCAGCTGGAGTTGGAAATGCAAGCAAAGGAGAGACAGAGAATAGAAGAGCTCGAGAGAGCGCAGGAACGATCAGAGCAGGTAATTTGGTTTTATAAATGTCTGCATATTTAAAACTTTTTTGAATTCTCAAACTTTTTCCTGGTTGCCATGTAGGAAGACCTCCCGATTCGTAGTATACAGATCTGCTGCACTTTAGCTGTGACACTTAATCAAGCTTTGTAACTTTCTTTTCAGTCTGTTTGCCTGTTTCAGAAATAAGGGTAGCAGGGTAATATTAGGAACTATGTCTCACTGGTTGCTGCGAGGGCCGAGTGCAAATCACACGCCTGGAATGACTCTGTGAGCAGGAACGTGCTGTCCTTGGACCTCGGTCAGCGTTTTAGTCACGACCTAACGTTTCCTCATCATGGTAGCCTCTGTCGCAGGTTAAGTTCCTTTGTGGTATTGAGGGTGCTTTGATCGCAGATATCACTGTGTCTCCTCCATGTTAGATGGATTAACAATAGTGTACATTTTCAAAATGTATTTTCATATCTTCTGTTAAACTATGCAGTGACTTAATACAAGAAATCTTTCCTTCCCTGATGACACCTGCATGGTGTCCCATTTCCACTTGAGTGGCATTTCCTGAAGCTGAAGGGTGTGTATGATGCGTGCCGGTCTCCTGGGTGACTGAGGTGATAGCTGCTGTCTCTCTCCTTATGGATCCCATAATCAGGTGGAGATTAGAAACGAGACGTGTTTGTGGTGTTTATTAAGGACTTAGATGAGAGCATAGAACACATTTAAAGTAAGTTTTAAAAAGTGAACTGAATAAAAAAGATGGACTTGAAAGAATAAATTCAAATACTTGCATATAGTTTTTAAAAATACAAATGCTGATGTCCTGTTGGTCTGTGTAGCAGCACCTGGATATACACATGTGCACACATTTATGTAAGTGTGCTTCTCTTTTCAGCCGTGTCATTGATCAAAAGAGGAAAGAGTACAAGGATCAAAACAGAATTTAATTTGTTTTTTCGTGAGGTGATTTGACAGCTTTTTGAGTGCTTGAAAGTTGCTGCCCCGGATCTGTGACTCCAGAGGATCACAACCATGTGTCACTCTCTCCAGGCATCAGCAGCCCTAGTGGTCAGAATCTCAGTAACTTTCAGTCACATCCCTGCTGGGCTGTCACTCCTGCCCCCTCTGCCTCACAATATCCTGGCCTCACCCCTTGCTCAGATACCAGTGCACTCGTGTCTTTTGCCCCGGGTGTCTCGGTGGCTGCAGGAATATGGTTTGAACTAATGTTCTCAAAAGGAAAGGGAAGGACACTGAATTGAATATATATAGCTCCTGAACTGTGCAGGATGCAGGGACACTGGAAGCTTCCAGACCATGGGAGCAGAGCACTCACTGCTGGGCCTGGGCTCTGCTGTTCCCTGATTGTGTGCTTGAGTGTCCTGAAGGTCTGTGTGCACACAGAATTAATTTGCTTGTTTGTTTCTTCTTTTTCCTTTCCTTTCCTTTCCTTTCCTTTCCTTTCCTTTCCTTTCCTTTCCTTTCCTTTCCTTTCCTTTCCTTTTTTTTCTCCTCTCCTCTCCTCTCCTCTCCTCTCCTCTCTTCTCTTCTCTCCCTCCCCACCTTCTTCCTTCTGTTCCTTTCCCTTCCCTTTCTTTTCCTTCTTTTGGCTTTAGTTAAGAGAACTTTGAGGAAGGATTCTGACTGGCTTAGTCTGTGTCATCTATCTCTAGGGCTGGGAACCTTGGTCACAGGAGAACAGAGACATCCCTGTACAGCCATAAGGGTGCAGCATGAGAAGTTCGCAGGAGAATGCAGTTGACTTTGAAAAATAAAAAGTGGTCATATCCCCATAAGCAGGGTGACCCCATGTATGGCCAGGAGGTGTCACCAGTCTCCAACTGAGTACACTCAGCATCTGCTAGGTTACCTTGCTACCTGAGAATGAGAGGTGCCCATTACATCAAGGGTTGGCTGGGTTGAAGAATTTCCCACTTAAAAGTAGGCCTGCCTGCTAGGCTGCAACAGCATTCAGAGCACCCCTGAGAGTGTTTCTAAGAGAAGGTTCTGGCATCAGGTGGTAATTTTGACAAAATTAATTCCTTCAGAAAATTTTAATTTCCTTCAGAAATACCTACTGTTTTATGTGTATAAAACTAGTTAACTGCAACTTTTCTTTAAAATCACTTGTTAATACAATAAGATTGTATTAGAACTTTTATTTTATTCCTTGTCATATTTCCTAATAATTTTATTTCAATTTTAATATTTTAGCCCATTTTACTATTTTTGTGTATTTAGTACAGGGTTTCACTACACAGTTCAGACTCATACTGATCCTCCTATTTTCAGCCTCCCCAGCACTGGAATTACAGGCATGTGCCACCATGCCCAGTCTTGGTTGGCCAGCTCAGCACTGGGGGCGGGGCCAGCATGGCACATGGTGCCTGGGATCAAACCCTGGTGCCTGCACTTGCCTAAGCAGGCACTTAGTCCACTGAGCTATCTCACCAGCCCCCATTTTACTTTTTAAAATTATTTAATTATAAACAAAATATAGTTGCCTTCTATTAGTGTGGAGTATTAAAAGATGATCTATAGTTTTGGGTTAAATATATTCAGATCATTCAACATGTTATGGTAGTTTGCAGTTAATCAAAGTAGTCCTTAAAAATAAAATGCTTGAAAATTACACAGAGAGGGCTGGTGAGATGGCTCAGTGGTCTAAAGCACCCACTTAGAACAAGCTAAGCTAAGCAAAGCACAGGGACCACGGTTCAATCCCCTAGCACCACATGCCAGCCAGCCCCGCCCCCTGGTGGGCTGAGCTGGCCACACACACACAAAATAAATAAATAAATTAATTAAAAAAAAAAGAAAAGAAAATTACACAGGGAATCAAAATAAAGTATATTTATTGTTTTAACTTTTATATGCTCTAGGAGATGAGAATGAATATGGAAAATATAGCCAGGAGTGAAGATGCTTTACATTCAGAGGTGAGAAGAAAAAGATTTTTCATTATGTGAAATAAATGAATATCCTAGAATATAAAACTTAATTTTTATACATCAGTAGGCAAAATTTTAATAAGGGTACTATCAAAGCAAACGTCCAAATATATATTTGGGACAGGCAAAATCTCAAAATGGGTAAAATATTGGATTCAGTGTTTATATGTGTTTTATTTATTTATACAATCTTCAAAGTTTGCTTACATATTTATGAATAATGCCACTAGATTTATCAAAACGAGACGTAAACTTGTGGCTGATATGGTATAAAGCACAGCTTCTTTCATTTGGCTTCTGCCCACAAAATACCTTACCTCTATTCCTTTTGACTGTTCCTGTGTTAATCATAGCCATAATAATACTGAAGTAAGCCTAGCTGGAATACTCAAAAACATTTTCTAAATCCGTTAAGAAATATACAAAGCACAGAAAATGAGTATGCAGCTGCACACACTCCAGTAACTCCAGGTTTTATGCATTTTTAGAAGCTAGAATGTGCTGAGATATTGGCCACAGAATTACTCACAAATCATACATTTTAAGTTTATGAATGTATTCTTAAAATAAATCTTAGTACTTACTACTAGCAATCTCTTCTCCTTCATAAGTATTGGTTACTTCCATTAATAATTTTGAATTTTACTGTTTCAATCAGATATTATATCAAAATTGAAAGAAAAGTAACTTATCTTTGAAGTCATGTACAAGTAAAAATGAATTCTGTAATGGTAGGAAGGAGCACAAGAGTCAGGCAAAACACTCGCAGAAATTAGTGACCGATACGGGGCGCCTAACTTGAGTAGAGTGGAAGAAGTTGATGAACCAATGTTATTAGATGTAAGTATCAACATACTTTTTATTTATTTATTTTTTTTATGAATTTAGGACTGGGTCTACAGAATATACAGGGTGTATAGGGTCTCACCATGTAGATAGGACTTGTAGTGATTCTCTTGTGTTCAGCCTTCCAAGCACTGGGATTACAGGCGCGTTCCACCACACCCAGTCTCCATCACCATCTCAGCGTGCCCCAGGGGCAGAGCTGTCACAGTAAGCTGGGTATTGAACCCTGGCTGCTGCACTCTGCCAAAGCAGGTGCTTTAGTCCACTGAACTATCTGGCTGGCCCTAGTATCAACATACTTTGATACAGCTGAGCACATATGAGGCCATTGGTTGGGAAATGAGCTTTTTCTTCATAGGAAGAGAAACAGTTCTGCTGGCTCTGACCATAAAAACATCAGTGTACATGCTACACTCTCCTGAAGTGTTCACTGGCAAATTTGCATCTTTGCCTCTCTGTCCCTCTGTCTCTGTATCTACAGATGTATCATCTGTATTTGTGTGTTTTGAAGTTAGATTGAAAATATCAGAATGTTTTCAAAATGTACATGTAAAATAATTTTGTGCAATACTAACCTATAAATTTTGAGGGAAGGATACCATATTGTTTCTCAATAGCAAACCATGAAACCACATATGTCCCATACTCTAGTAGGACATGCTTGTACAATGTATAAGTACAAGCACTTCATGGTTTTGGTGTTCTGGGCACTGGGCCAGATGTGGTTATGAATAAGACAGATAGGTTGACCTTGTGAAGTTTATTATCCAGAGGAGAAACAGACAATCTGACCAACCTTGCATATTTATTATAAGAATGACAAGGTATTTTATTGTCTAAATGAGTATGGTTTTAAGAAAGAGAGGAGGAATTATTAATAACTAAGTCAGGTTAGCAGGTGTGGACCAGCACCATCAGGGCAGAAGGGCACATTGGGTCCCTTTAGTCCCTGTGTACTCACAAGATGGGATAGAAACACAGTTGAGAAGCCTTGGTCAAGGAAAATTTGGGAAGGACTTTGGTGAGTGGTTCTAGGGGTCGAATGGGAGGCTGAGGAAATGCTCCAGACAGAACTCCTGGGCAGTGTGAGGGCCCAATAGGAGAGAGTTTAGAACCAGGGGAGATGCGTGAAGGACAAGGGATGAGGCAGGGAGCACTCAAGAGAAGGACTTTTAGTTCCTGCTCAGACACTTAAATTTGATCTTGCAGGCAGCGGAGGCCCATAAGACTGGTACTCAAAAAAGACAGATCTGACTATACAAGGTACAGTCAGAAAATATGGTGAGTGTTTTAATTAAAAATATTATTACATAAAATACATTATTGTGATTCCCCCCCATCCCTGTCCTTGCTTCAAAACAAATCCCTTCCTTTTTGCCACTTTTTGAAGCAGTTCTGGACATCCTCTTTCATGAGTGTCACTAGTTGTGCTCTCATGACTGCCTTAGTGTGCTGAACTGATTGAAAATGTTTATCTTTCATGCTTGTTTTGACTTTGGGAAAGAACCACAAGCTTCATGGTACAATACCTAGAGAATACAGTGGGTGAGGACACAGCCTCACGTTTGTACGAGTGGCCTTTCTGTGGGATGGCATGCAGTGGCTCCACTCACTGTATTTTAATGAAAGAAGACTTCCAGAGCTGCTTCAGGAAGTGGCAAGAACAGTGAGATAAATGTGTTTCAAGTGAGGGTGTGTGTGTTGGGAGGATTAATGGCTATTGTGCTTTTCAGTGTAATTTTTAAAAATTCAAATTTTAACTGTATGTTTTGACTATACTGCATAGTGTTAGGAATAGAATTGGGAAGTAAGCATAAGGAAGTCAGTTAGGACTAACCTAGATGGACAAAACGTTGGGGGTCTGATGTGAAGGATGTTTTCAAGAGCTGTTCAGGATGTGGCTGGAAGGACTAATGTTTGTGAAGATTTTACTCTGCAGGGAAGAGCAAAACACTTCCCAGTGGGGGCCACTGGCCAACAGGAAAGCACTCTGTGGGATAGGCAGGAAGACCTGGACTCATCTGGACAAGTCTTCCTGTGGAAGTGAAGTTCAAGGACAGTCTGAGATGAGCCCAGAGGGTGGAGTAGAGTAGGCTGCTGCCCAAGGGCGGGAACAGCGTAATACTGCTCCTTGCTTGCATGGAGCCAGGAGGATGGTGAGGTTAGAGGTGGAGAGGGCAGTCTATGGGGTGTTTGTATGTCACCTGGGAGAGTTTAGACTTCAGTGCAGTGGGAGTTACTGCAAGAATTTTGTGATTAGGTCTGACATCAGATGCCAGATGAGCAGGGTTAGGCAATTGAGATCAGACTTGAGTGCTTGAGATTGACTCAGTGGATAAAAGAGAGAGAGCCAAGAATGAAACCAAACTCCTTCCTCAGGCAACTGAGCTAACAGTGTTACTATTTGATGGGTGATGAACATGGCAAAAGGAAGGAGAGTGTTTGCACATAGGGCTTCACTTGTGGAGAGGGTGACTTGTAGGTGATTCTGAGATGTGCAGGACCAAGTGGCAGAAGAGCACTTGATGATTGCTGTGGGTTTTAGGATGGGAATGAGGCTCCAACAGGAAGTTTACATTCAACGGATGTGGGCCTCTGTGCTAAGGAATGAGAGGAGTGAGATGGGTGCCTAGGAGAGCAGGAAGTGAAGATGGGTGGGCTCTGGGAGAAGTCACTAGAATCCACACCTGAGGGGTGGCCACAGGAAGAGGGCTCCCACAAGAGCAAAATGAAGGGAAGAGAGAATGAAGGGAGGAATAGGAGAGTAAATGCCTTCCAAACATAATTGATGATTGTACTCTCTGGATATTTAGACATCATCTGAAGCTCAAAAGCTTATCACATAGAAATTACTTGCACTCTTATTTTGAATGACTTGTAACAGTGTACACTTTTAATTGTACTAAAGCATGTTTACTTTTTATTTTGCCTTTAGGTTGCATTAAATATTGACCAAGATTTGTGGGATCAGCCAACCTAAGATCAATAAATTTCTCTGCTTGTTTCAAATTTCAAATCATGATCTCAGATTTATATGTTTTTCTGGCCAACTTGAACTGTACCCCACCTCCTTTAAAGATGACTGTATTGGGGCCGGGGAGATAGCTCAGTGGAATAAGCACTTGCTTGGCAAGCTCAAGGACCTGAGTTCAATCCCCGGTTCCGAAAAAAAAAAGATGACTCTATCAATGGGCTTTAAAAGTAACTGTAAAATATTGTTTGGATCTCCAGTAGGGTTATTTGTGTGATTTCAGCAGGCACAAAGATAAAAAGAGTTTCTGAAGCAACTAATGGGGGCAAAGAATGTAGGACAAGATGGCCAGGCAGAGGCTTGTTGGACTGCTGAGGCGGGGAGGACCTTCCTGTCCTGCCTCAGGAGGGTGATCCCTGTGGGGAATGATTGCAGGGCTTTTCCAGTCTTCTGGGTGGTGATGCTGTGGGACACTCATGCTCCACACTTCCATGGCGTGGCTTCAGTGTGGACAGAGTGTGCTGTGCTATCCAGCTGGAAAGTTTCCTCATGCTTGGCTCAGCATGCTCACTCAGGAGCAGATATGGAAACTCAGCTCTCTGTCCAGCTGGGCATCCAATCCTGTCTTTATCGTTGAGGTTGTGACATCCAGGAATGTTGTAGGGGGTGACCACACAGAGTGAACTGAGTGGGAACCAGAGAAAGTCTTGGGCGCTCAAAGGCATCATTTCTTCCAAATTAATCAAGGGGTCCAAGTGCAGGGCAAGGGTTGAAGGGCAAATCTCACCAGATGTGGGTTCTGTACTGTCAGACTCCTGAATGTTTCAGGTACATCCTGGGCCCTCAGGAGAACTTAATTTTACTTCACTTTTTTCCTAAACCCAAGTCCATGGTATGAATCTTTTCTGTTTTAGAGCACCAAAACCAACAAAATCTAGGAGACTAAAAATCTGCTAGAAGCAGCTTTGGAAAACCAAATTAAACCAAGAATACAGATATTGATACTATGAATCAAACTTGTTTATGTTGGTGTTGTAAATCATAGCAATTTATGCTACCACTAGATGTCACAAAGATTCAAGTTTTAAAAACGTAACATAGTCATTCTGAAAGATTTCTTCTTGCACAGAAATAAAGTTTTCTAGCATTCATAAGGAAGAACTGCTATTCCTCCTTGAGTTTTTCCTTTTGTGTTTTGTTCAGGGTTTCACCATGTAGCTTGCACTCATAGTGGTCCTCCTGTTTTCAGTCTCCCCAGCGCTGAGATTACAGGCGTGCACCACCACCCCGGACTCAGTGGGCCCGCAGGTGGGACTGGCATAGCATGTGGTGCCAGGGATCAAACCCTGGTCCCTGTGCTTGCCTAAGTGGGCACTTAGTCCACTGAGCTATCTTTCCAGCCCTTCTCCTTGACTTTTGGTGGGATTATAGCCTCATGAACCCACAATAAGTTGAAAAAAATCATACATTGAAAATGTGTTTAATACAGCTAGCTTTAAGACTACTGCATAAAGCTAGCTGTATTAAACTAGCTCAGTCTACTGCAAACATATTCAGAACACTTAATATTTGTCTGAAGTTTGGAAGGATCATCTAATACAACACAAAGCTCCAGTGATACTAAAGTGTTAGTCTGTCATAGGATTTAATGAATACTGGATAGAACATGACAATAGAATATAGTTTTACAGGTACTCACTGCTATGCTTTAGACCTAAATGTCTCTGGAACTCTCATTTGTATGGAAGGTGCTTGGAGCACGGGGCCACTGTGCTCATCTGGAGGCAGAGCTGCGTGTGCTGTTAGGGGGTGGGGCCTTGTCACAGTCACGTTCTCACTGCTGAGATGGAGCATCCAACACCTATGGCTTCCACGAGGTAAGTTTTATTTGGGATCAAAGTTTGCAGAAGGTGCAGTCCCTGGTTGGCTGTGCTCCAAGGCAGTGTGGCATGGCTGAGGGGCCTGGCCGAGGAGAACTGCTCACAGAATGGTGTGGGGAAGTAGGGGGTAAGGGAGGAGCCTAGAAGGGAGATAATACCTTCCAGGTTCCAGCTACAGTGCCTGGCTGTTCTTGCAAGATAAACTTCCCAGCATCGAGTCATGTGTAAGCCTCCATAATACAATCACTTTCCAAAAGCACCACCACTGAAGCTTTTGGGGGATATGTAGGCACCCTCCAAATACTTGCGTATCTCTTTATGCAAAATGGACTTAGTTCATCTCTGAGAGTTGCCAGAGTCCTAACAGTTTCAATATTGCTGAAAAATCCAAGTCCAAAGTTGGTTCTGAGACTTAAACTTTGAGCTGTGATCCTTTTAAAGTCAAAAGGAAGTGAAAAAAGTCAGTTAAACACTTCCAACGTATGGTAGCACAGGGCATCAGATCAAAGTAAGACTAAAACCCAGCAAGGCAAACATGAACTCTTGTCCAGCACCAGATGTGAGTCATGGTAGGATGCAAACTCTAAAAAGCTTGGGTGGCACTTCCCCTAAGACCTTGCTGATTTGTACCCCATCTGGTTTCTCGCTTGGGCTGGCTTTGCTCTCCTTGAGGCTTTCTCAGGAAGTTTCCAAGACAACCAGTCTTCAAAGGACAATGTCATCTAGGCTTTCTTGTAATAATAAGTGGAAAGTGAATACTTGCTCATAATCTTGAATGTTCTAGGGTTCTCTGGGCAGAAGATAAGAAAGGCTTTAATTTCACTGTGCAACATTTCTACCCTAGAGTAGCATCCTACAATCTTTTTTAAAAAATGTATTTAGTACAAGGTCTACAGGGTTTCAGACTCAGTGATCCACCTGTTTACTACATCCCAAGAGCTGGGATTACAGGTGTGTGCCACCATGCCCAGTCTCAATTGCTGTCTCAGCATGCCCTGGGGGTGGGGCTGGCATGGCAGGCCCAGGTATTGAACCCCTGGCCCTTGTGCCTGCTTGCAGGCACTTTAATCTGCTGAGCTATTTGGCAAGCTCTCCACATGCTCTTTTAACACATGGTAAAGTATTGTTGCCTTAGCTGTGGTCATCAGTAGGTTAAGGAGTAGGTATTGCTGAAGCTGATCTTCCATCCATGTGACTTTTTTTGCATGTCAGCAATTTGTCTAGCCCTTTTCTTTCTGCTCATAGTGGACATACCTCAAGCTGACAGTTTCACCATGCCACACATCCACTCCTTATGATTAAAAGTATTTTGTAAGATGTAAGATGATTGGGATATTTGTATTGAAAGCCCTAATTCATACATTTGATGATCAACATTGGTGTGTGGCTTCCACACCAGGCAGTTTGCAACTTGAGTCCCTCTCCAAAAAAATTGCCTTCCTTTTTCCAGAAGCGGGAGACATAGGTGGGTGTTTTGTAGGTAATGGGATGTGTGAAAACAGAAAATGCAGTATCCAAGAAGCCAGCACAGGGCACTGTAGAAGGCTGATTGTTTCCCCTGATGAGGTGTGGTTGATGGGGTGGCAGCTTTCTGACCTTGCCCACCGTCAACATAGTGTCTGCATGTTATTATCCCAGGAAAATATCAAAATTCAAATGAAAGAATAATTATTACTATGACTTACCACTTGCCCACTTTCATGAATCAAAAAATTCTAGGCCAGCCATTGTAAGCCAGGGGCCATCTATACTTCTTTAACTTTTGGAAGTATTGTGAAATAGTTTAAATATGAAAGAGTGAAAAGAACATGTAATATCTTTATTCCAGTTCAGATGTACCAAATGTTACTCCTTTGCCCTCAGTCGATGTTTTCTCCAAATCCCGCCTCCCCCAGTCTCTCTTTTCATGTCCACAGAGCCCACGATCTCAATGCCGGGATCCCCTTCCCAGCCCCACCTCCTAGATGTTTCACCCAGGTCTGTTTATCTATCAGTAAGCAAGACTGTTTTTTTTTTTTGGGGGGGGGAGATTTTAATTTAATGTTAAGTGCTATCTTACTATATTTGTTATTCTGCAACTTACATTTTTCATTCTTACTGTTTCCTAGATTTATGCTTGTTGGTATATAGCATAAATACCTGTCTACACTCCTTCTATTTTTGCAGTCCTGGGAATTGAATCTGGGACCTCACACACACCAGGCAAGCACTCTACCGCTGAGCTACATGCCCATCCTTTACTTAATTTAACTGACATATAATGTATGATTGTATCCACTCTTGTACTAGTTTTACAGCTTTATTTTTATACAATTTTACTTAAATATTTTCTTAGCTTTTGTTTTATGCCCTTGAGGTCAGACTGTTCCCACACTGTCACTTGACCATGTCCTTTCATGCCACCCTTCCTAGAGAATGCATGAAGGACAACATCCTAGTACCCTAGTACAATCTACTATCTAAGCAAGCAAAAGGCTTCTCTGTTGGCTCTGAAGCTTAGTATTAGCACAATGTGCTGGAGGAATCCTAAAACCCACTTGAAGTCAAGTCATTAGGTCTGGGTCGGGGCTGTACAACAGGCTTTCTAACGAGCTCTTGGATCTGCTGCTGTAGCTCATTAGCAGCCACACTCTGCAAAGCGCTGCACTGATAGATGAGGCACACTTGTGACAACCGCAGGCGCAGGTGGTTTCCATTCTGACGCTACTAGTTAGTGCTGAACAGCTTATCAAAACAGTGCCGTGAGCTCACACTTCTACCAGACACACACAGGTAAATTATACTACAACATTCCTTGCCCATGAGCAGGAGTGAGCTTGTGGTAGCTCCCTTGATGTTTAATTTGTGAGTTCTTTGATTACTAGTGAGGTCACACCTCTTTTCATGTTTATTGGATGATGAATTTGTTCTAGGAATTGCATGTTCAGATTATCTGCTTACATTTGCTATTGATTTGTTTTTCTCTTTTTTTTTATTGACTTTCTCTATTGATTCCTTTGTGTTGGGAAATTGCTCAAGTGGTGTACTGCCCTTTAACATGGCCTATTGCATTTATTGTTTGACAAAATTTTTGTTTCATTTTGTTTAAATAAGTCAGTTTTGGTGGCACATGCCTGTAATCTTAGCACTCAGAAGGCTGAAGTAGGA